CAGAACGGCGCCACCTGCTCCGTCCCGGCAGCCCGCCCGCCGCCTCCCGGCGCCTCGGCCCCGGCCCCCGCCGCGGCCCGGAGCTGCCGCCGGGCCTCCCGCCTTGGCGCCGGGCGGACCCCCCCTGCGTGAGGGAGCGGCGGCGCCGGCAGAGGCCGCTAGATGCCGCCCTGCCCAACGCCTTGGCGGCGGCGGAGGCTCAGCGGAGCCGTGGCAGCCCGCTCAGCCCTCGCGCGGTCCGTCCTCCCCGGCCCTTGTGCCGAGGCTGGCTCCCGCCTTGCCGCCTTTCTGCCCTTCGGGAACGGACTCGAGTTGTTCTCTGGGGCAGGCAGCTCGCCACGTTTCGCTCCTCCTCTGGAGTGGGCCCGCGGGTGGGGACCGGGGTCAGGCACACCTCTGGGAGGGCCACGCTGGGCCACCAGCCCCACGGGTTGGTGGAGCTGGAGGCTGTGGCAGACACTGAGGGGCTTGAGCTGTGATGACATGAGGCTGAAGGCCATGGGTAGGGTTGGGAGCATCCCCTGGTGAGGCTGGTCAAGGCCATTGAATTCAAGGACCTGGGGACCTGGCACTGGCCAGGACTCAACCAGGTTCCTCAGGGGGTGCAGAGCTACCAGCACTAGGGTCATTTCTTAGTGATGGAGGGGGTAGGTGCTGGTGACTGATACCAAGTGCTCCGTTCCTTGGAGGGGTTTTCAAATGATCCTTCTTTAAGACAAATTGACAGCAAGTGGCCCTCAAATGGATTAGGCCAAGTAGTTCGGATGTTGAATTTCAATGGCCGTTGTTGACTGTGTTGCCCTTTTGAACCTTCTGTGTTTAAGTTTTCCCTCATAGGGTATACTTCTTAAAAGAATGGATGCATTGGATGCATGCATGGGTTTTGGGAACAAAATCAGCTGAAGAACACAGCCCTATGCTGTAGCAGCCAGCTGTCTGTGTGCATTCATCCATGGAAAAGTAAGGGACGGTTAGTCCACACTTCAAGACTGGCTCTTAAGGAGGCCAAGGTCACTGAGATTTTGGGATTGTTCATGTTTCAAAGCCAGATTGCAATATAAAATTGTTGGGGGGCTAAAGCAGTTGTCATGTGTAACTGTTTTCTTGGTTTGATCTTTTTTTTTTTTCTTTTTAAAAGAGGGTTGTATTACTTAAAAATTGCTTACAATTGCTAATTTAGTGTCTGTGAAATACTGTGTTGTCTGGACTCCTGTATTTGCCAACAGATCAGATAGCAGAAGTATAAGCACTTCCTGCACGGCTTCTTGGCTGTGACCTGGACTGACCCCATGAACAGCAAGTGGGGGTGAGCAGTATCGGATGCTGTCTTCCGTTATCACTTGTGTGTTAGCCTAGCAAAACTGCTTGGCTTCTCTGCTGAGCTTGCCATGTAGTCCCATCTGTAATGTAAACATCTGTCTACCAACTGCACTGAAACCAGTGTTTCATTTTGTGTAGGCTACCGAACAGCTGTCAAATGGCAATAACTTTGGTTATCGCATGTCTTTTCCAATGTCCTAGATGCAGGAGGTTCTGGATGCTTTTACTCTTGCTTGACTTCTCTGGTTTTGGACTGGATCCTTCTCAGCTATATGTTTTCAGTCCTTCACTAGGCTTTTAAATAACCCCCAGGAGTGTGCTGGATATTATCCTCCTACAGAGCTCAAGTAGATTAGACAGGAGCATTGAGTTCATTGGATCGCTATGGATCCATTCAGTTCTTCTGTGCATCTCCTATCCATTAGTGTCCCATCTCTAAGATTTTGTGATATTAGCATTGACAGGGTGCGTTATGCTGTACAAGGTTATGTCTTAAAATCATAAAACTATGAAAAGCGGATTCCCAGGACAGCATTACAAGCTACTGTAATGGCAGATGAGCTGAGATCTCTCAGAATTTTTTCCTGTCAGCATGGGTATGTGTGCTGCTTTCAAGGTGACAGCGGGCTATGAGTGAGCATACCTGTGCAGCAAAATATACCATGGACTTGGAAATGTTTGGTTTGGAAAATGAATGCTTTTCATATAGGTTAGTATGCATTTGGCAAACAAAACCTGTGTTGAGCACTCACCAGACTTTCTGAAGTCAAATGGGTATTTCAAACCACTTGCTCCTGCAAAGCGGGCTGTCCATATTGCAGACTGTCAATATATATGAAGGAGCCTTGTAGCATTCATTCTGAAGTTAGAGAAAAAGCTTCATTGAAGAAATGCTCATACAGGTGCTTAGGCTTCAACACTTTTGAAATTTGGGATTTGTTTGGTTGAATATTCCAGAAGTCATCTTTAAGTTCTCTGAGACCCATCCAGGCCCATCCAGGCTGTCTCCTGAACTCCTCAGGCTGAAAAGGGGAAGAGATGAGCAGGTTCACTTAGAGCTTCCTGTTTTGCTTTGAACAGAAGGTGTTTAGAAAGACCTTTTTAATGATGTTCTGCTGATCCAGGTTAGGTTCAGTGAGTGGGCAAAAACAGGAGAGAAGATGCTGGTGGTGGAATGCTGTTCTTGCCAAATCTTTTCACAGTCCAAGGAAGGCTTACTTTGGCGGAATGTTACACGTTGCTTTTTGTGTTGCTTTTCATTTGGGGAGGCTGATGGGAAAGATGCTCCTCCCCAGGCACTGAACTATAAATATTTGACTTTTATACAACCCAACCGAAATGTCTCTGACACGGAATAAGTGACGAAAAATGAGCTTTTACCAAACCTGCGGAATTCATTTGAACCTTGCCAGGTGTTTGGCTGTAAGACTGTGAGGTCCCATACTTAACAGCTCATATTCTTTGCCAATAATATGTGAAGTGTTTCATTATCTTATATGCTGTAGTTGGCACACATCAGCTTGCAGACAAAGAGCAATGGTTTATGATATTTGTGGATTCCATGTGCTGTTGTAGCTGTGAAATGATGTGTGGTGTATGATAAGACAAATATATAAGAATGAAAGGCCTCATATAGCAAATATAAGGTACTTCTAAGTCTTTGATAAGTAAAACCATAAATTGTTAAGTAACATCAGTATTTTGATTTTTGTCTCCTCTTACGAATGCCAGGAATAAAAACCAAATAGTCTTGCCTTCAGCTCACCCAAGGTGTTCAAGGAGTACTTGGGACAGATGAAGAACTGATTTATTTTGAGCCTGCAGTATAACCAGAGCTTTTTAGGGTATGCATTCGAATGGCCAAAATTTTCCCAAATTAAAGCTTAATTTAGGTGGATAAGCTTACTGGACCAACTGCCTACTCACACCAGTTCCCAATGTCCAGTTAAGTATTTAAATCAGTATTAAAATAATTACTGCAATACTCTGGTTGGACGAAAAGGGTCTTTGTGTGTATTTTTATGGATTTTTTTCTCCTTGTGGCGTTTTCTCTGTTTTCTGAATTTTAATCTTTCCACAAAAAAAAATAATTTAAAAGCTTGAAACTTTAACCTGCTTCCAACTAAGTCTCTGATTGAAAAAGTCTTTAACGTGTTGTTTTGCAGCACAGCAGTGTGTGTTAAGTATGTGCTTCTTTATTTACAAATGTTTTGCGGAGGTAGGGTCTAAGGATGAAAAGCGACCAGCAGCTCCCCAGGCGTGGGAATCCAGTGTGCTGCAAGAGTGGCGATATTTGCTGTGGCAGTGCTCACAGCAGCCTGTGTGGTCTGCCCTCCTGGCCCTAGGAGCCTGTCTGGAGAACTGGCAGTAGTGAGCTGCCCGGGAGACCTCGAACCCAGGGTGAGATCTCTTAAGAGCACACCAAGGAATCATGAGGCTGCAACGAGCAAGGCAGCTCAGCAAGATTTGCTGTGCCTCACCAAGTCTAATCCAGAAAAAAATAAGCCTGAGGTGTCAAGAAGAGCAGGGAGGAGAAAGACAAAGCAGAACAGGGGGCTTTTCACTTCCCTCTCTTCTACGAGGACTTTGGTGAACTGGTGTGTTTGTGGTGATCCTGCTGATGCTTAGGGCCTCTGTCAGATGCATTTTCTTTAGAGATCCAGTGAATCTTTGCACGTGAACAAGCAAACATGTCATTTGTCTGATGCTGAATTTCAATATTTGTAGTATTTTTCCCCTCAGGGTGGTCTAGGAGTATAGAAAATGATTGTAATGAAATGTTACTATTATTTCTAGTGCATTTTCTGTGCTGTAAACACTGACAGAACGAAAAGCGCAAAGGTGGTCCCATCCCCTGTGGGACTGGAGTCTAGTATGAGTTATCTGATCAAGAAAGGATTAGACCAGGCAGTGGTGAAGACAAGGTGATGGGAGGACATGGTGAGAATTACATTACATATATGCATATGTGTATATATATATGTATTTAATTATTAGGTTGTAATACCTGCTTAGATGCAGGTGATCACTAGAATAGTGTATTTGAAGTTGTCTGAGGTTTCTTATTATCAGAGGAAGAGGTAGTTCTAAGAGATGCACATTTTTTTATGTATTTAAAAGAAGCAAACCCCAAGAAATTTCCAAAGAGCCCAAATATTTTGGTGAAAATGATGAAAATAAAAGCTTTCCACTGAATCTGTCTTCTTATGTGGCACTTTTGTGGTTTGCCTCACTTCTACTGACTACACAGCTATTATTCATTCATATTCCTGACATGACAGTTGTGAAACCATTTCTCTGGCACTGATGATGTAGTGGTAAGACCAGAGGATTCCTGTGTCAACTTTCCGCATTTGCTGCTTAACCTTCCTTTTGAAGAAACTACCTTATTTGGAGCAAGTAGCATACAAGTCCAGATTTGGCAATGTTTTTAGGCTGATAGCAATTTAATATGGCTTTATGCAATTTTTATTCTCCCAGCTTTCACAGTGGAGTTCACTGTTTCCTGTTCTATGTTGGTTGTCTGGACTATCCATACGCTGGATTGACAGAAGCTTTCCACAGGCATAAAAAATGATCAGCAGTTTGAATATGGAAATCTGTTTAGAACAGGCATACATTTAGAGAGGACTTAAGAATGTCCTGATGAGTAGTTTGTCACCTATTTCTGCTTGTTGGGCTGAAAATAATTCAGTAGAGTCTAGCTTTTAGTGGTAATATGACATGATTAGGATGCTTGTGTAAGATAAGGATAGAAGAAAAATTCTGAGAAGGCTTGCCAGTACATTTCTGAGTGGCCCAACCCCAAACCTGGGTCAGTTACTGGTGCCCTCTGAACAAACTGAGTAAACCAAACATATCTGTTGGGGCTGTATGAATGTCCTCTAAATAGCCTTTGAAAACATAAGCATGATGTAATCGTTGTTAATTAATTATTATTAATGATTTGGTGCTTAATTTTGTATTACTGCAAAAATGAAGTGTCAGGTTATGAGTTTCTATCAGTAATCACCTAAATGAAATGTCATTAAAATATTTGTGAATAATTAATAAGATGAAATTACTGATGTTTTATCAAATCTTGTCAAATACCTTAAGATAAATCTTGTGAAAATATGCAGTTTGCATGAATTGAAATAGAAAAGCCAGAATCCCATCTGCCTAAAACGTAAACCTGTACGATGTGGAGAAGAAAGTTACAGTTTAGGATGCCAGGAATTTGAAACATAATTTCGATATTCTTTCATCTTTGTTCCAAGACATCAGTGCATGCAGCAGTAATAAGGCACATCCGTATTTCAGTGCACATCATTTTAGGTCTAGGAATAGAGAGTGTGACAACAAGTTTTTCTGATGTTGCATTTTAATCAGGATAAAATGGCAGTTTTAGAGTCACATAGTGCACGTAACAAGCAGTGCTGCTTCACATAACCTGCATGTGCTGTTAGAAAGAAGTACATACTTAGCAAGCGACAGCCCCAAAGTTATGGTGATACTGTAAGGCACTGGTACACAGTGGTTATCTTTTACATCATTCTTACAACCTTGGCACACATGGTTTATGCTCAAGAGTTTAATTTCCTTAGTTTTATATTTTTACAGTCCTTAAACCTGCCATATATCCAAGAATAAATATAGGCAATTAATTTCATAAAACTTAGTATCTTGAGGGGGAAAATGATTAGAAAGCTGAACTTTTCTATCAATATTTTATTTACAATACTGCCTGTCCTTTCAGTGTATGCTTACAGCTCTGCACTGTTGGTGGTGGGAATTGCATATGCTGAAGTCAAGCAGAATCAAGCTTTCATAAGCAGATAATTAACAGATAAATGCAGTATCTCCGTGCTCTGTAAATTAACTGTTGGTCTTAAAGAAGGTTTTCAAAAGCCCTGGTTATGCATTTTTTGCTTAGCTAAATTTCATGTTCTTATGTGTTACATTTTCATCTGGTCGGTAGACAACTTTATGGCGACTGGTGGTTTTTTTTTAAACTGATTCTACACATTGCCATGAAATATTCTTATTATTCAATGTGACTTGGAAATATAATCCATTTCTTTAGCTGTAGCCAATGCTCTGGACTCTTACTATTGTAATGGTGTTAATTCTTCCCAGTCTCTGTTATGCTGGTCTGGCTTGTGCAAAGAGTTTAAAAAGGGCAGGAACCTAAGACCACCGGCATTGCAGGGAAATAACATCTGAAAAACTCCCAATCTTACATTCTGCCCTCCTGCTGATGAAGAGCAATAGCAGACTTGATTTGGGTTTATTTGTGGATGGCTATTTTCTAAAAAGTAACAAATCAAAGAAATAAATCAGTGCAGATCTTGTATGACATTTTATCTGCTTTGATTTATTGGTTGCTATAGCATGACTGAAAGAAAGTACACTTTATATTTTGCTACTGGGAACAGGCTTAAGCTTCTTTTGTTTATTGTGGTACATTTCTGTCATTTGGTGTATGCTTCCAACCATATTCTACCACCTTCTTTTTTCCTTTTTTTTTTGTCTTTCCTCAAGTCTACATATTTTATAGTCATCAATTCCTACTTAAATTCATCTGCAGCTTTTGCTCCTTGGGTCAGTCTTGTGTTCCTATTTAGCCCTTACTTTGAGAAAAGTCCTAGTGACATCAGCAGATGGTCTCTTGGAATCTAGTTATGCTCTATCGAATGTATGATGTCTGTTAGAGAAACACAGGTGAAATCACTGTGCTTGTTTGTCCAGTTACAATCTGAAATTGTAAGCCAAAATCACCAGTCAGGCCTTCCAGATATGCTTTTGAATTTGCTTTATTACTGAAGTCTCATCAGGCTACTTGTATGATGATCAGAGCAACAAAGGAAGACTGCAAAGTCACTACTCTCCTTTCAAAGCCCAAAGAAGGAGGTATGGGACTGTATTTTTGAGTGTCTTGACAGACAGGTTCAAAAAAGTCTACGATTGACTTGGCTTGTGTGTGGCTTCAGCAGCAGAAAGATGCCTTCTTATTCAAAAGATGGACTGTGGAATGGAGGTGTCCTGTTCACCTGTGCAAGTGCTGTAGGACTGGGGGAAATGAGATCCTGTGGGATTCTTTTTATATCCAGAATCTGCTCTGTGAAGTTGCCTGGTTCCTTACTTGGAATGCAGAAGCATGTCTGCTTTGCAGGTGTTTTACTAAAATAATGATTAATTTTTAAGAATGGACTTCTATTCTATTCTATTCCATTCTATTCCATTCTATTCTATGTCAATTAGCTTGTGGAATCATATAAGCAATTATTAATAGCCAAACAGTTAATAGTAAAACAAAGATGTCCATGTCTTTGATCTGGATTTAAGTCTTCGAATAATCTTTTGCTCAGACATGCAAAAAGCTTCTATTGTTTGAATCATTGCTAATAAAGTTGACACACCCATGAGTTGTTTTTGGCTTTAATACCTGAAGGACTTACTGAAGTGGCTGGAGGGTTTGGTTGTGTTCCACATCTCACAGCATCACAGGGCACTGGGACAGTACTTGCCTCAGGAAAGCAAGAGAAAACCAACTCTGGTGTCATCGCTGTTTGTCTTCATTCCCACTTGGATTGTGCTCTGGTTCTTTTAGCTTCTCACTTCTTTTCCTCAGTGCAACAGCAGGAGAGGATCATAACTTGGTCTGTCCAGAAAAAAAAAAAAAAAGACTAGAGATGGTTTGATCTTAATTTTTTAAGTATGTATTGGAGCAGAAGCTTACTTAAGGGTTCTTTGGCAAGGCGGGTTGACAAAATCTAAACACGGGACATTCAAAGCTAATCAAATTTAACCTGGGAGCAAATGGAAAATAAGTTAGCGAGGGTAATTACTGGAAAATTGCTAAAGTATTTTAGTGGACTGTCCATAAGGAAGTCTTTAAATGTGGGTATCTTTCTAAAAGATAGACACTGTAAATCAACCAGAAGTTACAGCCTGTGTGATCAGGAGGCTGGTCCAAATGGAGATGGTGGTTTCTGTTGAATTTCTGGGTTGTACCACAGAAACGCACTAACAAAGAAGGGGCTTGTTCTCCTTTTAAAGTTACCAATACCTCTTGGCTTTCATGTCAAGTAGGCCTTATTAAAAATAGGTTGTATTTTCACAAGAATAATAAATGTTAAATTATACGGGGTTTTTACTGTATTTCACTCTTAAGAGAAAAGGTAGGCTCTCTTCAGGAAAAACAGCCATGTTAAAAATTATTAAAATAAGCTGGTTTGCGCTGTTGAGAGGTTTTGCTTAGGTTGTAGGGTAGGAGAGGAAAGCTCTCTCTCTTTTCTTTAAACCATCCAGGTCCTGACCTCAGATATGGGGCATGCCGTGCTGTGCAAAAACCAATGACTTCATCCTTTCTCCTCTCACACTGTCAGTTCAGGAAACAGCAAGAATGGATCTCTCGAATGATGTCAGTGATGATAGCATGGGATTTTGCTTGTGAAATTGTGTTCCTTTCCAGATGGGAAGGACCTGGCATCATCCTAGCTGGTGCTGCTCTGATGGCTGCAGGACTAGACCTGGCTTCTCTCTTATGGAATGTAGGCAGAGCTGGCACACCACCCCTCATCAGCCATGAAGAAGTGCCCTGAATTTATTCAGCGCTCTGGAAGCATCCTGTTCATTCTGGGCATGCTTAGAAATTATATAAATGTAAGTATGCCAATAGGCAGAAGGAATTAAAGCAGCTATAATACTAGTCTAGAAAACATACAGGAATAACAGAATGGCTTTGCTGGTGGAGAAGTGGCACGATACATTAAAAATCAGGTTCAAACAAGCGAAATAAATTGTGTCCCACTATGCCTGTTGGTTCCAATTAGAAGGAATATTATAATGTGATTACAATATTGATCACTTGGTGGCTGGACAAATAACAATGTGATATGCTAAGAGTGAAAAATCACATTAATAATGAAAAACTGTATAGACAGTGTAGTGGGGTATTTTTTTTATTATTATTTTTTTTTCTTTTTTGACACCATGAATGAAATTTTAGAGTCCATGGCCAAAGAACAAATAAGAGGAGCAACATCTTGCAATTTAGGTCCAAGTTACTGTGGCTGGCATGGCTTAAAAAAGAACTATCAAAGAGACTCTACAGTAGCAATCAGCATATACTGAAGCTTAACATTCTTTTGGGAGTGAAAAAGCCATAGAGCTGTTAGATAAAACTGAGGAAGCCCCTTTCAAATAAAATTAAACCCACCAAGATGCTGAATTTCTTAAAGTGCCATGAAGTATAAGGGGTTGTATTAGGGACTTTTTGATAGGTAGTGTGAATTTTCTCTGTGAAAATTCATTTCTAAACAGATTAGGAGAGAATAAAAGAAATAAAAAGACATGACTTAGTATGTGGAAGTCATTCCAAATAAGGAATATACAAAAGAGAGCACATTTTCACAAGATGCATGTCAAACCATAGTAAGGTACGCCAGAAAGATTTTGAAGAAAATTGCAAAAGACATAAAAGCAAATAAATTACCTCTTCTATTTCAAGCACATTAGAAGATGGAAGAAATGTTATATGGAAGAAATGTTATAGCATTATACTGATACTCAGTGTGGAGGAACGTAGAGCTGCTACTACAACTTTTTTCTTTTTGCAGGAGGTGGGGCAAGGAAATACATTAAAATTGAGGCAGAATAGTTGTAGGCTGAGTATTACACAATCTTTATGGAATTCTGAGGACAGATGCTGCTTACCTATGAATTTAAATGACAAAATTACAAAATTGCCAAATTATTAACCGAAGTGGCTGTTTGTATTGCCAGCCTAGATTTTGACTTTGTGGCAGGCAGACTGTTAGAAGCAAAGTAATGAAGATGAGGGAAGGAGGCAGAGGGATATGGATCATGAAAAATTGCCACTGTGGTTTTGTAGCCCTGCTCCACTATTCTACTGATTTTTCTGAAGAAGTCAACTTAGGGTGGTTGGATACTGTGTGCTGTCTCTCCAAGAAACATGACCCACTGCCATCACCACTCCTCTTATAAAATTATGATATTGTTCAGTAAGTGGGAAGGTTTCCTTCTGAGAAGGATATGAGAAATAAAAAGTTAAGTTTGCAGAATAAGAGGATTTTTCCACTAAAGCCTTACTGGGTTAGTCTGTGTACATGGGCCTATATCGGTGTATTTATGAGAAGATGAAGGGCAAGGTAGGCTTATTCAAGCAGGAAAGTCCTTTGCAGGGCAGTAGAAAAAGGTCGTAACACTTAATGGCTGAAAGATGAAGTGGCAGATGGAATTTTATGTTAATAAACCCAAAATAATCTATTTAGGGAGGAAAACCAGCTGCCTCTGCATGTTGTTCAATGCTAGACTCCTCATTAGCTGTTACTGCTCAGGGAAGAGACCTTGAAATAATTGCAGGCAGGTCTATGCAAACTTTGACTCACAACTAGTCAAAAAGATAAATAAATTTTAGGAATGAATAGGAAGGTGACAGACAAGTAAACAGAAACCACCCCTGACTTTGTTTAAATACAGGATAGATTTCCTGTTGTTTGTAACCATTTGTAAGTAAGCAGATCTTCATTTACTTAAATGTTGACTAATTTCATAGGAAGCTAATCCAATTTAAAAAAAGCAGGCTCAAAGGGTGATAAAAGCATCAAAATGTCTACATGAAACTTTCCCCTCAAGTTTTTTGAAATGACTTTGCAAATTGCTTCTCCAAGCCCTTGCAGCTGTGGGATTCACAGATTCTGTAAGTTGGCTATACTTAAAAGTGTCATGATTGATGTGTCATACCATAACTTCTAAGAAACGTCAGGCTGTTAGGAAAACAGCCTTGTGAGCATCCTGCAGTAATTATGGAGCCACTTCAATATCTCCTAGCATGTAAAGTTGTGACCATTGAATGGGCAAACATCCTTAGGATTTTTTGACATGCAATATACGGGGTGATTTTTAATAACGTTTTATATTAGAGGTTACAGACTAACCCTAAAAATCTGTTTCTAGCAAGTGACATTTCATGTACAAATCCTTAATTTAAAGACAGACTATTTCAATGTTAATTTTTATTAGAGATCAAAGAGAAAGAAGATGCAAGGTGAAAAACTGGTAATTTTTCTTGTGAGGGGGGTAGAGTCACGCAAATGTCATGTGTATCAGCCAGGATTTTATTAAGAGTTACCTTACCTTTCGTTTTGCAATCCATGCTTTCTGGGATCTGAAGAGGCAGGATCATGTCTCCCCCTCCTTCCTCTGCAATAAACAGTTAACAGCAGGGGCATTTTCAATGTCCTAGGGCAGTCCTTTGAGTTAACAATTAACATAGGAGAGACACCCTGTCAGTTATTGTTTCAGCTTCTCTTACTGGACACTCACAAAAGTATTCTGGTTCACGTTTGGCAATTTAACACTCAGAAGGATTTCTGTTAGCCAAAAGGACTAGGTTATTATTTCCTTAGTGTGAGCAGGGATTCTGTAGGCTTCTGGCAGAAATGAGGACAACTGGCCTTCCCAGTACTTGAGATCTGACAGTTACACAAATTTAATCCTGAATAGAAGCCATCAGTTAAACTAAATAAGCATGTATATTATATCTGTATATGCAGATAGATATAATGAAATCCGTATCACTTGCTTGTTACCCATGGACTAACAGAAGTTTTTGAAACATGTAGCCATGTCTGTTGCCTTAGCAGAAATTGAAGTAACTCTATTGACTTAGCATTATTTTTTTTTTGGATGGGCACATTGACTGCTGTAAGTGACATCAAACTCAGGCTGAAAGTTTCCAAACTGAGACAAGCTCTGCCAAAAGAGAAAGAATTCTGTTATTGTTGAATGTCTAGATGCCTAACATGTAACTCTCAGACAGCAGTGTTTTGGGAAATACTGGTCAACTGGGACTCAGAATCAGGCAACAAAAAGACTTTGCTTGCTCCAAATGGCAAATTCCCTTCTCTGAAAGGGAAGGAGGTAAGAGATGATTGCAGAGAGGGCCTGCTGTTATTCCTCCTTCCTTATGCACTTCTGAAAGTGCAGTTTCCTATTTGAAAGGATTTCTCAGCTAGGTAAGACATTTCTTGCAACTGATCAAACTAGAGCAAAGAAAAATTAGATCAGCATGGCTATTAAGAATGAAAGTGATTCTAGAACATACCACACAGCTTTGATTATATTTTGCAATTTACTGTAAATACCCTTATGATACTTCTGTATTTTGGGGGGAATTCTTCAAACTTTTGCTCAACGACTTCCATGGAAATTTATATGAATAATGACCTTGGAATTCTTGATATGGAAATAATTATCCTCCTACTGGATGCTACCTTGTCAGCCTTGTCTAGTATCACCACAGATTTCTGTGTGTGCTCAGCTACACCAAGCCTTGAGAAATGAGGCTGCTCTGCTTTTACTCTGTTCCAAGGACTGTAAAGCACAAATGTCATAGAATCATAGAATAGTTAGGGTTGGAAAGGACCTTAAGGTCATCTAGTTCCAACCCCCCTGCCATGGGCAGGGACACCTCACACTAAACCATACCACCCAAGGCTTTGTTCAACCTGGCCTTGCACACCACCAGGGATGGAGCATTCACAACCTCCCTGGGCAACCTATTCCAGTGCCTCACCACCCTTACAGTAAAGAACTTCTTCCTTATATCCAATCTAAACTTCCCCTGTTTAAATTTTAACCTGTTATGCCTTGTCCTATCACTACAGTCCCTATGAAGAGTCCCTCCCCAGCATCCCTATAGGCCACCTTCAGATACTGGAAGGCTGCTATGAGGTCTCCATGCAGCCTTCTCTTCTCCAGGCTGAACAGCCCCAACTTCCTCAGCCTGTCTTCATACGGGAGGTGCTCCAGTCCCCTGATCATCCTCGTGGCCCTCCCCTGGACTTGTTCCAACAGTTCCATGTCCTTTTTATGTTGAGGACACCAGCACTGCACACAATACTCCAAGTGAGGTCTAGACCTGGAATGACTGACCAAATCAGTCATCTTTTTTCATCTTCCCCTCCCCCCCCTTTTTTTTTTCTGATTAACGTCTTAAATGTGTTCATTCAATTTGGTGTCTGCTGATGTCACTTCTTAGAATAAATATCTATGAAGAAAAATACTCCCTGCTTGCATCAAAAGGATAGCATTTCCAAGAAGCGCTCAGTTGCTTCCATTGTTCACTTCTTTTTGTTTAAGCAATTACCAAGGTGTTGTAAAGTATAACTCATACTTGGGACTCTGGGGTTGTACAATGTGATGTGCTAATGTTGTCCAGTCTGAGGTATGAACAAAGTAGACTTTGCTCTGCCAAATTGGTAGGGACTTGCTTCTCCTTAGTGGTAGGACCTTAGCTTTCCCCTTAACAAGGCTGTCAAATAGAAGAGGACAGGTGTTGAGCACCGCAATCCTGGTAACAGCAAAGGTTGCAGGGCATCTGTGCTCCAGTCTTTCCTTCAGGGGCACAAAACCTCACATGTAGCTAGTCAAGAAACAGACACGTATCAAAGTAAATCCAGAGTGTAATTAAACAATAAAAACAGGACAAACAGTGCATTTCTAGGGAATTACAACATGCCTTGGGTGGAGTTCTAAGGCGTAAGGCCAAAGGTTGGATGGCTTTCATCACCCAAGTCACACAGAAAACCCATAATGCCAAGACTGCTAGAGAAAGGAAGAGAGGGATGGTGTGGGCAGCCTTTCTGCATGCAGTTTAGAAACTAAGTTTTGATTTTATCCTGTTTGGTACACAGGTGTCTATCTCCTGCTTGCCTTTTGCTTTGTATGGCCTCAACTGGTTAACCTGCTAAAACTGCAGAATGACACTTGCATGTCCAGCCAGCTAGTCACTTGATCAGCACCCAAGTAGATCTAATGTGTAGAGCAGGAAGTTTAACCCTGGATTAAGGCAGTTTTTTGCAGGCTCTGGTTGGGATGGGATTTCTGTGAGTAGAACTCAAGACCAATGAGAGCAGCTGCTAATGCTGGTATGGGGAATAAGGAACTGGGAGAATGAGAGGATCCCTGGGATGCTGTAAGCAGGACTGCTGAGGGGTCTGTGCTGAGGCTAAGGCTGGGGAGCCACGAGGTGACATATCTGGGGTAACAGACACCCTGTGACCATGGACTTGGCCAGAGATGGCCAGAGAATGAGCTGGAAGCCAGAGTTACATTGATTGGTGAGGTGAGACAAATGATGAGTGAAACTATTTCAGTGCTTTTCAGTGTGGACAATTAAAATATAATTGTGGCACCACCAGGTGTCTTGATGGCTACTACTGCACTCCCATACAGGGGGCTGTGAGATCTCAAGGAGCTGCGGATGGCATGGCCAGCTTCTTCCTCTTCATGCTGATCTTCTCCATGTGAATTTTCTAGGGGTCTGAAGCTTTACTCCAGATGTAGTTACAAGGTGATGCTTGCAGGTGCAGCATTTCTATTACCTCTTTGTGCTCTTCCCCTCTGTTTTCTTCTAGCATTTGGCTGGAGAGACAGACAGAAGACTTCTGCTGAGAGCCACAGCTGGCAGCAGGATGTCATCGCTCAGTGAGGGGCAGAAGCCAAACCCAGCACCCTCGCTGCAGTGGCAGCTCCCAGGAGAGTGCGAGAGCAACAGGCTCTCGGAGAAGAGGTCTCGTGAGGTGGTCCCCTTTGTATTGGGCTGGTAATAAAGTGCTCAAAGACAGAACATGCTGATTCACAGAAATTGAGACTGTTTGTGGGAAAGGGTTGGCATTCACAAATATCTTGAGTTGAAAACTATTATGGAAATAAAGTTTTGGAACTGTCAGAATAGCTTTCTCATTCAAAATTACTTTTTGTTTTGAAAATTAACCTATTAAGTTGCATTGAAAATATGTTTTGAAGTTGTCAAAGCCAAATGTTGGCCTTGAACTCAACCAATTTCCTTTTTTCTTTTTTTTTTTTTTCTTTGCTCTAGGTCTTTAGCTTTGAAAATGTTAATAATTTAAACCTTTCCTCCCACTCTGAAATGTGGAAAACAAAATTGATATCTATAAAACTGTTTACAGGGGAACAGGTTTCTCTTAGCTTAACACAATGAACTGTGCCACTTTAACGTGGAATTGCCCATTTAAAAACAAGTTTCTAATAAGTTCACTTAAAAAAACGAATGAAACAATTCTATTGCTACATAAGCCACCTTTTACTGCCACAATTAGTCTCCCACAAGTGCAAGCAGGTTTTCTGATTTTAGGCTTAAATTGATTACTGGTGATTGTAATGCACTCAAAAGAAACCAAATACAGATGGTTAAGTTTGAGCAATGTTTTTCTCACACAGTATTTAACGTTCAAGAAAGTCATAAACCCAAGAAGTCCCAGTTCAGTACTATGCAGCATGTCCTGCTGATGTGTTTATTTCGGTTGCCTGGATTTTAATCACTGGGATGTGCTCACTTCAAATGTGATGCTAAACATTGCCTGTTATTGTAATGCATTTCCCAGGAAAGTGCATTCTGACTAGCATGCAAAGCACAGGAGAAAAACGTAGGGGGATTATTATTATTTTTTTTAAAACATGGTCTTAAGAAAAACAATGGTTCATTCTTTCAAGCCCTGGATCCTGAGTCCTGTTTATCCTGTTACCAGTCTGGCAAAGGGAAAGGGCCTTCCGAGTGTGTGCGAATTACAGTTGTACCTGTGGCCCCACAGTGCCAACGGGCCATGCTCTAAGTGTGAATTCAGCTCCTCACAACTCACTGTCATACTTTCTGCCCACACGGTGCCAGGAAGCTTCATGGTGTGGCTCACAGCCTTACCAATATGCTTAGTCAGGCTTGCAGGGCCGGACTCCCAGTCCCCGTCTGCTCTGTGAGGACATTAAAGCACCGCTGTGCTTTTTCCTAAGAGTAGTGGTTTGTTGCAGAGTTCTTGACTATAATTATGTTCCACAGCAACCGTTGTGCAGCAAGACATGAGTCACTTGATGACTTCCAGTCCAGAGGCGGTTGAGTTTTAGTGGCGATGCAGATCTGTGGAGCAGCAAGTGAATTATACAGTGAAGCCTCATTACTGACATCAATAGGTTAGCTGGGCCCCCTGGTTCAGCTTGTGTGATAGAAGTGCTTCTCATCACGGTGATGTCTGGGTGCTGCAGTGACATGAGATACATAGATAAGCTTGCTTTTTCTTTTTATTTGTAACATTTTAGCACCTTTATAGTCCTATATGTAGGTTCAGTCTGTTGCATGAAAATGATGGTGGATGGTGAAGGTGTGTGGAAGGTAAAGCAGAATGGCTATATGGGAAAGGTGGCAGCTTTCCACTTTGCCCATATTACTGAAACTAAAACAAAAGATTTTCTTTTGCTAGGACTGGCTGGAACCTCAGCATCAGTTCC